CTTAACTTCAGTGATCGGACGAGAACTGGTGCTTTCAACGTGGTATGGCCGTATACATTATATAGGAATTTTTCTGGCGGTTCTTTCTCGCAAATCAAGAGGAAATACCAGCAAAAAGGAGTCTACAGCACTCGGTGTTCCCAGGCGGTCACCCATCCAAGTACTAACCGAGCCCGACGTTGCTTAACTTCAGTGATCGGACGAGAACTGGTGCTTTCAACGTGGTATGGTCGTAGACATTATATAGGAATTTTTCTGGCGAGTCTTTCTCGCAAATCAAGAGGAAATACCAGCAAAAAGGAGTCTACAGCACTCGGTGTTCCCAGGCGGTCACCCATCCAAGTACTAACCAGTGATCGGACGAGAACTGGTGCTTTCAACGTGGTATGGCAGTAGACATTATATAGGAATTTTTCTGACGGGTCTTTCTCGCAAATCAAGGGGAAATACCAGCAAAAAGGAGTCTACAGCACTCGGTGTTCCCAGGCGGTCACCCATCCAAGTACTAACCGAGCCCGACGTTGCTTAACTTCAGTGATCGGACGAGAACTGGTGCTTTCAACGTGGTATGGCCTTAGACATTATATAGGAATTTTTCTGGCGGGTCTTTCTCGCAAATCAAGGGGAAATACCAGAAAAAAGGAGTCTACAGCACTCGGTGTTCCCAGGCAGTCACCCACCCAAGTACTAACCGAGCCCGACGTTGCTTAACTTCAGTGATCGGACGAGAACTGGTGCTTTCAACGTGGTATGGCAGTAGACATTATACAGGAATTTTTCTGGCGGGTCTTTCTCGCAAATCAAGAGGAAATACCAGCAAAAAGGAGTCTACAGCACTCGGTGTTCCCAGGCGGTCACCCATCCAAGTACTAACCGAGCCCGACGTTGCTTAACTTCAGTGATCGGACGAGAACTGGTGCTTTCAACGTGGTATGGCCGTAGACATTATATAGGAATTTTTCTGGCGGGTCTTTCTCGCAAATCAAGAGGAAATACCAGCAAAAAGGAGTCTACAGCACTCGGTGTTCCCAGGCGGTCACCCATCCAAGTACTAACCGAGCCCGACGTTGCTTAACTTCAGTGATCGGACGAGAACTGGTGCTTTCAACGTGGTATGGCCGTAGACATTATATAGGAATTTTTCTGGCGGGTCTTTCTCGCAAATCAAGGGGAAATACCAGCAAAAAGGAGTCCACAGCACTCGGTGTTCCCAGGCGGTCACCCATCCAAGTACTAACCGAGCCCGACGTTGCTTAACTTCAGTGATCGGACGAGAACTGGTGCTTTCAACGTGGTATGGCCGTAGACATTATATAGGAATTTTTCTGGTGGGTCTTTCTCGCAAATCAAG